TCTGCTCCCAGAGGCCACCCAGAGTTCCTTGCTACATGGCTTCATAGGCGGTTCACAACATGGATGTTTGCTTTCTTCCAAACTCATCTGACTCCATCTCCGACTTCTAGATCCTCTTTTAAGAGTCACCTGACTAGGTCAGTCCCACCCAGGACAATCTCCCTTTAGATGAGTACAACCGATTAGGTATTGCATCTGCAAAGTCCTTTTTGCCATATAAAGTAACATAGTCTCAGGAATAATATCCCAGCATATCCATAGGCCTTGTCCACACCCAAAGTGGAGGGTTACACAAAGCTGTCAGCCATTGGGGGACATTTTAGAATTATGCCCGCCACTCGGCTAGTTTTCAATTTCCTTTTTATAAGGCACATGAATTACTTATAAAATAAGGAAAAACAATAAACTTTATTTAAAAAATACAAAGCAAACCAACCTCCCACGAGAACACAAGTGCTGGAGTGAGAGAATTTCTCTCATGGGTCTCCACTGAAAGGATGCTGTGTGACCCTCTCACAGCTAAATCTTTACTGTAAAGATCAGAATCCTCAGGGCTGTTCCTTCTAATTCAAACCCTCAGTGAAGGACATTGATTCCAAGTCAATGTACAGTAAAAGTAATCCAGTAAGTGGCCAAAAACAAGAGTTCAGTTTTTGGCAGAGACATCACAATCTAGAAGCAGGACGAGTTGATTTAATAGTTGAGATGAGTTGATTTAATCTGGGGTTTACAGATGTGCTTTGGACAAGTCTTTCCCTGAACCTCCTAGAACCATATGCAACATTTTTGTGTATATGTGCATTACTGTGAGGAGATAGCCCACTGGTTACATCAGATTATTCTCAATAGTGTTTTTGACTCAAAAAATTAAAAGAATCATTGCTCTAGAGAAAGATTTCTTTATCTCAGGATTATTGGTACTTGAGACTGGACAACTGTTGTGGGAGGGGGGTTGTCCTGTGCATCGTGAGATGTTTAGCAGCATCCATAGGGGACAAGAGCACACCCTAGCTGTGGCAACCAAAATAATTCTCTAGACATTGCAAAATATCTTCTGGAGGGAAGGGAGCTCACTTTGACAACCACTGATCTTCAGAAAGAATGGACTAAATGTTAAATCAGGTGAAATCTACATTAAAATAGTCCTGGATCCAAACTGCATCTTTACTGTCACAGGTAACCAGGTTCTTGGTGATGGGGACAAAGAATTGAACCGAACACCCAGGGTTTATAGCAGAAAACAGGGGAGCAGGACAACTCCAAGAAGAGATTGACCTCATGGGCTGGAGGGGTTCTATTCTTATAGGGCGGATCCTTCCTGGCTAGTTTTGGTGGGCTTTTACTGAGCCTGTACAAGTAGTTGTATTACTTTAAAGCTACTATGTATGTGGTCTCCCATGATTTCCTCTGATTGGCCACCAGAGAAGGGGTCATACAGTGTTCCTGAATGGACCCCGCCTTCTCCTGGGGTCCCCTGTGCTAGGTTCACCTTGTCCACTGCCAGGGAATTATAGCTCCCCATGTCAGAGATTGGTGAAAAGGAAAGGAATTATTTATTTAAAAGTTATACAGACTTAAGAGTAATGACTTAATGTCTTCATTAAAATCCCAAAGTCCCTTAAAACAACCACGAACATACACAGTCATTCCTTCACCCTTTGCCCGATCTGGGGTACCATATCTCAGAAAAAGAAATAGAAGTCTGTGGCTCAGGTAGCTCCCGGCTCTTCCCAGTAATCTGTGCTCAGCTGGCAGGCTGCCCTCGGTTCCCAGCACCACCAGGTGTGTCGTCGGGATCTTCAGTTCTTATTCCAAAACCACATGGCACCTACTCCTGGCCCACCAGCAATAGTCCTTTCACCCCCTTCCTTCCAGCAGCATCTTTTCTATATTCTTCCAAACTGCTAAGAGAGAGCTCTGCATAGCTGCTACATCTTGCTTTCTGGCTTCCTAAACTGCATGGCAAAGGGAGACCCAAAGCCACATGATGATTCTTGTTATGGCTCCTGTGCCTGAGTTTAAATCGCAGTGACAATCTTCCTCTACCCCACCATTTCTGACTCCTTCCACAATTGGCTACACTTGCCAGCATTCCCATATTTTTCCAGCTTTTCTGGGCTGCCATGGTAAGTCTGAGCATGTGTGGCCCTGTGGTGTGGAGCCAATCATCTCCAAGCTCTCACGCAGGCGCTGTAACCAGGGGGAGTTGCCTCCAAGTAACATCCTGGGTGGAAGTCACTCCCTTCTTTCTGGCTCAAAGCATGGCCAGAGCTACTTAACATATCTATACCCAGTTAAAGGATGTAGATATGTTAAATGACTGTTCTAGAGGTTATCTGCAAAACTGTTGCTATTCAAAACAACTCAATAGCCCTGCTCCATGTGTCCCATCCCCCAGTTCAGACTTGTGGGGGTGAGGACATCCTATATGTATGTTTTTTCCCTAATATTTCCTGGACACCCTGAATTCTGGACCCCATTACAAACTCTTCCTTTGGGGGGGCCTGGGTGCACCCTCTTACACTACCAGTTATAATCTTGGGTAAATTATCTCATTTCAGTCTTAGCCAATTTCCTCATGTGTAAACTAGGGATATAATACCTACCAAATAGGCTTTTTAATAAAGATCAAAAGAAAGCATGCAAAGCACTTTGTAGAGTGCCTTATGTGGTAGCTATTAATATTGATCCCATAGTATTTCCCATGTTCTTTTTTTTTAAGACTTTATTTTATTTGTTTTTAGAAAGAAGGAAAGAAAGGGAGAAAGAGAAGGAGAGAAATATCAATGTGTGGTTGCCTCCCATAAGCCCCCCATTGTGGACCTGGCCCGCAACCCAGGCATGTGCCCTGACTGGGAATCAAACCAGCGACACTTTAGTTCACAGGCCTGTGCTCAATCCACTGAGCCACACCAGCCTGGGCCCCCTATGCTTTATTTATTCATTCAACACATAGTTATTAACAGGTGCCTGTGTGCCAGTTGTTTTTAATAAGCTCTAACTGAATTATTCCTTCTCAAATCCTTCTCTGGTAGGTACTATGATCATCTCTGTTTATTCTTTGTGAATGGCACTTTAAATGCCAGCAAAACATTCCCTCACGTCTATTTTTATGCATGGCCCTAGCCTCCCTTCGGAGATGCAGACCCATATATCTACCTGGATGTCTCCCTAGGAACTTTTACACTCAGTATGTTTGGCCAATAGGCCCAGTGCCTAGCACCTAGTAAGCCTTCCATAAAAATGAGATATTACTGGCCATCATGTCCTTTTTAGCTCCTGCAGTCTCCACCTGCCACTCCTCAGTGGATCCCCAGAGTCTCTTACTTTCTGTCAGCAGTCTTAGCCCCTAGGTTAAGGCCTTGATTCGTTGCCCCTCTGGGGAGCCCATGGGAGATTCTAGCCCGGTTCTCCCACTTACAGGGAAGAACAGAAGCAATGAAAAGGAAGACACTCCCACGCCCAGGACCATTTTTCTTGAACAATCAGTTTGGTAGGGTTAATTTGCCAGCACTAGACAGGACATAAAATTCCACAACAGCAGCCTCTCTGGGTGCGCCAGCAAATGATGCCTGGGGCTTGGCTGATGCTTCCTGTCATGGCAGGTGCCCATAGACATGAGCTAGATAGATTTACACTATTAGTATAGTTTTAGCAACGGAGTCTGCTAAATGCTCCAGAACCGCAGTACGTGGTTCTTGGGGCTACAACAGGAGCAATTTGGCAGTCACAACCAGAGAAGCAGTGCAGTGCAGTAATACCAGCAGGCTCTGGATGGGCTGTAGTCTCAGCTTCCCCTTTCACTAGCTGGGCGATAGCCAGCGGGTGCTCCGTCATGCTGAGCCTTTGTTTCCTCCTCTGAAGAGGATAGGTGATGGTTAATATTTATGGAGTGCTTACTGCTCAGTTGAAACACAGGAAATTGGACCTGTCTCTATTCAACCCTTACCAGCTATTTAAAAATAGGATTTATTCTTTAAATACAGTTATGCTCCCCCATCTCACACCGCCCACCGTTATAACCTTTGATGACATTTTAAAAATAAGTAATTCACGTATGTAGTTCGCAAATAGAAATCAGAGTACAAAGTGAGAAATGCTTTCATTTTTTACCATTTTGCACCTACAAAAACAGCCGTTCCTGTAAGTGCCAGCCACCCTTCGAAAGCTTTATATTAACTCGCTTAAATCCTCAACAAACCCACGAGGTAGGTACAGTCATTACCCCCTCCTCGGTAATAACGACTATTTCTCCTAAAGAGAAGCAGAAGGATCTGTGGGAGAATGCCGGCAACCTAAGTGGCCTCCACAAGTGATTTAAAAGTTTGAGAAACAGTGGTCAGTATATATAATTATCAAGTGCCAAACAGGATTATACGCAGGACGTCCTAAACAGGATCCCCTGGGGCGTCATACTCGGCGCACTTGCTCCGAGAAGACCTGGGAGGAGGAAACCCACTGCGGCGCCCTGGGGCCAGCCTCTACGTGGTTTCCCAGGAAAGGCGCGTCGGAATCCGCCGCCTCAACCAGTCTTGCCAGAGTAGGTGTACCCCTACGAACAAAGGCGTTGGGAGCGACCGTCTCCATAGCCAGTCAACGCCGAGTCCAGGCCCGCGCCTCCTCTCAGAGCCAAACTTCCAACTGGTGGAGTCTTATTGGAGAAGGCGGACGGAGTCAATGTCTCGCTAGAGACTTCCTGGGAAATCTAAGCCAATCACTGCGCCCGAGCGATAACCGCAAGTTAGGTTGCGTTTTGAGTAGTAATCGGACCTGAGGGCTGGGCGGCGAGCGTGTCGGGGGCTGCGGGGAGGGGACGCTTTCCGCGGGCGCGCGGAGCGAGGACGGTGACAGCCACGCGCGCATGTGCGCGCCCGGCTGCAGCGCGTCCCTGAGACCTCCATCAGTCGCTGAGAGGCGCGCCGAATCTGGGCCGCAGCCGTCTAGGGACCCCGTCCTCAGGTGACCCCAGTGTCCCCGGCCCAAGTCCCAGAGTGCCGGGCCGGTCCCCTCTCTCGATCCGTCCCCACGGCCGTCGAGGCCTGCCCCGCAACTCTCCTTTTCCGCCCCAGGGACAGGGTCCTAGCGGCCCATGCTGGCCGCTGGGGGCCCGTGCCGTGCAGACAGTTTTCGGGCCAGCCGGTCGGGCACCATGGTAGCCCTGAGGCCTGTGCAGCTCCTCCAGGGGGGCTAACAGTCCCAGAGCACAGGCCTTGGGAAGCGAGGGTCCCGGGCCTGAGCCCCGCACCATGGCCGGGGCCATCGCTTCCCGCATGAGCTTCAGCTCCCTCAAGAGGAAGCAGCCCAAGACTTTCACCGTGCGGATTGTCACCATGGACGCCGAGATGGAGTTTAATTGCGAGGTAATCATCGGCCGGCAGCCCCGACGGGCTGCAGCGGGGTGGGAGCTGGGCGGAATTCCCGCTTCTCGGGCCCTAGTGCGGCACCGACCGAGGCGCCCCTACCAGGGTGACAGTGGAGGTGGAAACTTGAGGGATCCTGGTTTTATTATCTCTGGGTATAGACAGAGATGGCAAGAACCGGAAGGAGCCATCTAGGCCCAAAGCCTTATGTTAAAGATAAATTGCTGCCTTGTTCAATAGGGCTTTTGGATTTGGAAACACTTCCGGAAATTTTTCATTCATACTGCAAGAGGCTAGAAACATCGGCGGTAGCAAAATGTAGTTTTCAGTGTCAGACTTAAGCTCAAGCTCTACAGAACTTTTACTTTATTAGATACTTACTTTATTATTATGTACCCCAGGTAGTAAAAGGCATCTCGTTTTACTGGAAAATCTATACTTGTTTTCCTTTTCCAAAACTTCACTTTTCTGGAGAAAACTCTTTGAGGAAAGAGATGGTGTCTTATAATACTTAGATTTTCCATACAGTTTGCACGATGATAACAGTTATCATTTGTTGAATACTTTCAAAGTTTCAGACACTCATACATTGAATTCTTACAATAATCTAATGAGGTAGGTACCCCAAACCATATATCTAGTTAATGGTGAGGTTAGGTTTTGAATCAAGCTTCTAGCCAGTACAGTGCTGTCTCTCGAGTAATTTAAGCCCTTGCTACTAAAAGTGTGGTCTGCGGACCAGCAGCATTGGCAGTGGCGACCTAAGTCAGGGGTTGGCAAACTGGCTATGTAAAGGGCCACACAAATATTTTTAGCTTTGCGGGCCATAAGGTCTCAGTTGCAGCTACTCAACTCTTCAGCTCTACCCTGTAGCACAAAAGCAGCTACAGACAGGATTAACTTCCAGCATGACAGAGGATCTCCATTGATCTGGTTCTTTGTAAAACTGGTAAAAAATAAAAAACCAAACCAATAACTTAAGCCTTCTGGAAATGGTGCTAAGGGCAAATATTCAAGGAAATGCATGAAAATTCAATGAGGAAGGTGAAAATGTGTGGCATTTGAACCAAGACCTCTACCACCCTCCTGCTCCCAGCTTAGCAAGAGGTGGGGGGACTCTCAGAACACAGGGTGCCCCCTCCCCTTAGCTCCTAGTCAGAAGGCTTTCTTACCAGGAGGAGGAGGACTTCAATACTTCTCATCCTGCCCAAGGCTACTTGTTGCTGAGACTAAGTGATAGAAAGTTGAAAGATGGGGCTTCTTCCTTATGGAATGAGGGCTGTGCTGTGGGCGGCACACCAAGAATGCTGGGCCCCCATTACTTTTGGCCCACACTCAGCTTGTGAGATGGTGGTTCCAGCCAGGAGAGGTAAACTGAGAAGACCCTAGGCTGGTAAGTGCCCCCTCCCCACTTCCACCAAGAGCTCAAGAGATGTTGCCTAGAGAAAGAAACAGGCTTTAAAACCCTTAGCCTCTAATCTCTACTCGAGGTAGTGACTTCATTTGCAACAAAGTATGGAGAAGTTTATGCCTAGGGGGTACTCAAGAACAGTAGAGGTGTTGGTGAAAGGCAATTTCTGGATTGCATAAAGATACTGCCTGGACTATAAACCAGCTAGTTTGCAGGAGAGGATGGGGATGGGGGGTGAATAGCATGGCCTAGAAGAGCCCTGTGGGGGGTCAGAACAATATCAGTTTCTGAGATCAAACACAGATCTCAGAAACTGATCCCTCGAAAGAGCCACCTTTTTTAAAAAAGATTTTATTTATTTTTAGAGAGAGGGTAAGGGAGAAAGACAGGGAGAGAAACATTAACGTGTGGTTGCCTCTAGAGCACCCCCCTCACTGGGCATCTGGCCCGCAACCCAGGCATGTGCCCTGACTGGGAATCAAACCGACTACCCTTTGGTTCCCAGGCCCATGCTCAGTCCACCAAGCTACCCCACCTGGGGCAAAAGCCACATTTTGATTGGATTACTTTACAGAGTAAATTATGTTCTGGAGCATTGGAGGGAAAAAAAAATATATATATATATATATATTTATTTATTTATTTTTAGAGAGGGGGAAAGAGGGAGAGGAACAGAAGAAAAAGAAATATCACTCTACAAGAGAAACAGTGATTGATTGCCTCTCACATGCTCCCACCTGGGGACCTGGCCTGCATCCTGGGCATGTGCCCTGACTGGGAATTGAATTAGCAACCTTTCCATCCATAGGCCAGTACATAATCCAGCGAGCCACACCAGCTAGGGCTGGAGTGTTATTGAAGATAAAGGAACAATATACCACAATTAGTGGAGTTGAACAGCTGGATGTAATAAGAGAAAGAGAGCCCTACTAAAACCTTCAGGCATACTCAAAGAAGCATCTCCCTGAGAAGCACCATCGTAGGCCACACTATGTGAGGGAGACAGATTTCACTAAAACAATGAAGCCAGTCTCTAAACAAATAAATAAGCAAATAACAAGCTCTGGAGAACAGGTCAGCAGTCCCCAGAGTTGCTATATTATCTAAAACATCCAGTTTCCACCAAAAAATTATAAGATATGCAAAGAAACAGGGAAGTATGACCCATACAATGGGAAAAGCTAGTAACATATTGCTTGAGAGTGACGAGATGCCAAATTTAATGACAAGGTTTTAAAGTAGCCATTATAAATATGTTCACAGAACTAAAGGAAAGCACGGTTAATGAAAGGAATGATATTTTTGCATCATATACAGAATATCAATAAAGAGAAATTATTTAAAAGAACCAAATTAAAATTCTGGAGCTGGAAAGTATACAGTGACTGAAATAAAAAAAAACTCACTAGAGGGGCTCAAAGTAGATTTGAACTGGCAGAAGAATTAGTGTGCTTGAAGATAGATGGGATAGAAATTATGTAAGCTGGAGAGCAGACAAAAAAGAATGAAGAAAAATGTACACAGCAGCAGAGAAATGTGATAGATTGTTAGGTGCATCAATATATGTGTAATGGAAATACCAGCAGAGGAGAGAAAAATATTTTAAAAGTATAATGGCTGACCCTTCCTAACTTGTTGAAAAACAATGACCTACACATTCAGGAAGCTCAGTGAACTCCAAGGAGGACAAACACAAAGAGATTCACAGATACATCAGAGTAAAAATGCTAAAAGTCAAAGACAAGGGGAAAATCTTGAAAGCAGCAAGAGAAAAATGACTTTGCACTTACAAGGGAACCCTCATAAGGTTAACGGCTGACCTCACAGCAGAACATGTTTAAAGTGCTCAAAGAAAAAACTTGCCAACTGAGAATCCTATATCCAGCTCAGCTAGCTATAAATAGTAAGGACATTTAAAAATGAAAGTGAACTAAAAACTTCCCCATATAGTCAAAAACAGAAAATTTAATGCTTAAAGATTCATCTTACAAAAAATACTAAAGGAAGTTCTTCAGGCTAAAAGCAAGTGACCTCAGGTAGTAATTTAAATCCACATGAAAGAGAAAAAAACAACAAAGAGCACTAGTAAAGGTAACTATATAATTATAAAAGAGTATAAACTTATGTTTTCCTTTCTTAACTGATTTGAAAAGCAATTATATGAAGTATGTTATAATATACTGTTGGGACTATAACAGAAATGCAATATATGTGTATTGGACTTGCCAATAACAGAACAAAGGAGTGGGTGGGAGGAAAGCTATAATGGACTAAAGAAATGACTACAGATGGTAAAGTGATAACTATAACAATGTATTGCCAGATTTGTAACTTTACTCGATATAATATAGATAACACTATTACAAAAACGGGAAGGGAATGGAGCTATATAGGAGTAACATTTCTATATATCACTGGAATTAAGCTAGTATAAATCTGAAGCTGATTTAGATAAATCAGGATTATATGGTAAACCTTGGAGTAAGCACTAAAAAAGTCTTCAAAATTATAGTGGAAAAATTAATAAAGAAATTTAAATGCTTCATTAGAAAATATTCACTTAATGCAAAAGCAAGTAGTGAAGGAGGAATACAACAATAAAAGACATGTAAAAACAAAGAAAATGGTGGTTCTACACCAAATAATTACATAACTTGAAATGGGGACAAATTCCTAGACATTAGCACCAAAATTGACTCAAGAAGAGTCAATCTCAATAGAACTGTAACAAGTGATGAGTGTAAATTAGTAAAAAAAACACTACCCACCATGAAAGTCCCAGACTCTATCCACTAGAGAACCAGATAGTTTCACCACTGAATTATACCAAACATCTGAAGAATAATTAATGGTAAATTTTTTACAAACTATGCCAAAAAACAGAAGAGGAGGAACCACTTCTCAGCTCATTTGATGAACCTTGCATCACCCTGACACCAAAACCAGACAGAGATAACACAAGAAAACAGGAGGCCAGTAGCTCATGAAAATGGAAGCAAAAATCCTTCACAAAGTACTAGCAAACCAAATGCAGCTACGTACAAAAAGAATTATACACCATAAACAAGTGGGATTTATCCCAGGAATACAAAGTTGGTTTAACATCCTAAAATCAATGAATGTATTACATCATATCGATAGAATAAAAAACAAAAATCACATGATTATCTCAATACATGCAGGAAAAGCCTTGACAAAAATCTAACAGCATGTCATGATAAAAACACTCAACAAAGTAAGAATAGAAGGGAACTTCTTCCACCTGATAAAAAGCGTCTGTGAAAAACCCAAAGCTAATGTCACACTTAATGGTGAAGCACTAGATGTTTCCTCGCTAAAGTCAGGAATGATCAAGGACGCCCACTCTCACCAGTTCTATTCAATGCTGCACTGGAGGTTCCAGCCAGGACAATTAGATAAGACAGTGAAATGAAAGGCATCCATATTGGAAAGGAAGAAGTAAAACTATTTCTATTCGCAGCTTTCATGGTCTTGTATACAGACCTTAAAGAATCCACTGACGAAAAACAATGGGAACTAATAAACCAGTTAAGCAAGGTTGCACGATACGAGGTCAACATACAAAAAT